CTTTCTTCCTTTCATCATTTCTTAGAGTCATTTTATTCAACCTTTGATTCATTTCATAGTGTCATTTTATTCAATTTTCTATTGCAGAAACCCTTTTGTACTATAATTCAGATCACATAATTGTATTAAATTTGCATCACGTTTTATCATTCCTCGAGAAGAAAATATGTGCACCAACCAGGTGGCAATATTAATCTAGTTGTATGCAACAATTGGGGTTAACAGGACTAAACTATTTTGAATATGACTTGTATAAGTAGTAGCAGTATTCTCTGCAGTTTAGTCATCGAATACCATCTCGATTTAGGACTTTGTATAGAAAGTACAAAACAACAATCTATTATTTGTACTGAAAGAAAAAAAGAAAAGAAAAATTACCAATTTGATTACTCATTAAGATTAAATGGAGCTACGTGGTCAGTGAGGATTCATATACTCTATCCAATTTGTTAGGGATTGAAGCGTAGTAGTTGTTGTTAATTTTTGTTATTTGGACCTTTTTACCTATTAAATCCCAATGAAAAGGAAGGATTTTTTCCCCTTTTGAGTGAATTCTTACATTAGACAAACAAAATTCTCATAATTTGAAAACCGCAAGTTCGCTATTCCAATTTGTTAAAAAGAAACAATTTTTTTTTTATGTAAGAACAACTACTAAGCCAAGAAATGAGAATTACTAATTACCATACAACTAATTCAAAATCAATTGCAATATATAAGGGAAATTAAACTTACAGGAAGGCCAAAGATTACAACTTTTTTACCCTGAACACCAAAAATAAATACAACATAGTCAGAAATCAAGAACCCTAAATAAAGTTGAAGAAATAAGAAAAGGGTAATATAAATTAAACAAAAAGATGAAATTTTTAAAAGGGGGTTTGAGTATATTTATCATTACCTTGAAAATATCTTTGACAGGGGTAGTAGAAAATTTAGAGGAGACACCTTCATCCCAAGATCGAGCCTTTTGTAATGAAACATTTGGTGCAGCTACTGTAAGATCAGTACCTACAGAAACAGAAGCATAGGATCTTAGGCTTTGAACCATTGACTTTATCATTGTTGTTCTCTTCAACATTGCTGAGGCCATAGCTGGGAATTCTTCTAGTTTTGGTGAACAGTGTTTTCGGCTTTGATGAACATTTCTTTGTGTTTATATGAGTTTTATGGACAGGGAAAAGTTGGGCCTCATTAGAAGTAATGATACAAATCAATCAAAGGTAGCCCAATTTTGGCGTCCAACTTCATTTGATCCAAAGGTTCTTGAAAAGAAAGGTAGAATTGACACTAATTTTTCAGTTCATTTTTTTACGATAAAAATGTCCTGTATTATTTTGAATTTAAGATTTTTAGTTTAAAATTTTATGACAAAAATAAGTACTGGCTAATCCGTAAATAGCTATTTGTGAACTTGGCCTACAAAAGTTAGTGGACTAATACAAATTGGCTAAGTTGGGATCGTACCCCAATTTATACACCAAAAGACTGACCAATATTTTTAGTGGAAATTAGAGTTAGTAAACTATATTTTAATGTCAAAAATTTTTGAAATGAAAAAAAGAATTTGTAAGAAAAAAATTAATGTATTCTATTCGTCAGGGAAGGTTAAAAGGGAAAAAGATAAGTTTTTATATCCGAACCCTTTCCTTTTTTCCTTAATCTCTCTTATTTTATAATCATCTAAACAACCCTTGTTACCGACTTCCTCACTGTGTTGTTATTTTTTTTTCATTTCCGTTTCTCGCTATCTGCTAGTTCCTTTATTACTTTCTCTTCTTTTTCTTCTTCCCTCTATCCTACGGTTACTCCAAAAAAACAAAAAATAAAATTTGCTCCGATCTTTATGCTTACAAATGTCTAATTTCTCTTAATTCCTTAAAAACATACAATACATTTTTCATATATGTCAACATTTTAGTCACTCGTCTTACAAATAGAAAAAGTAACTCTCCAAAAAAAAAAAAAAAAATTTTTTGCGCAATAGTTTATCATAACTTTTTTGGTAAACATATTTAAGACATATTCATTTTTAATTAATAATTAGTTCCAAAAAAGGACGAATAATAATCTCATGGGAGCTTTTGCACGAGAAATAGATTCACGTTGCTTTACTGGGTGCAATGCCATCTGGCAACAAAGAAACTAAGTTTTCCTGTTTTTATTTCTATTTGGTGGTTAATTATTCATATTATAATGGTCGCAAGATCTTTCTGGGATATAAATAACCTATGATCAAAGTTTAGAAAAAGAAGAAAGTATATGAATTAAACCAACATAAGTCAAGAAAATGGAGTCAGAAAAACTTGTCTGAAAAGATAAAACCAATTTGTAAATAGGAAGGAGATAATTATTCATATACTACAGCTCTTTATTATCCGCGTCCACCACAATTTTTTATTTTATTCACAACTTTACACTTTCTTTTATGTTACAATTATAACAATAGAAGGATAATAGAAAGGAAAAAGGAACCAAGCAAATGGATAAAAAAGCAAAAAGGTAAATGAAAAAATAACTATTTGGTCTTAGAGGAGTGTCAAATTTATGAACTTAACTCTCATTATAATATAGTATCAAGTTCCGAAGATTGGTACAAGTTTTTCATAATTTGACTCTTTTGAAGAGAGATAGGTTAAAAATCTAGTAAGAGAATGTATAGCTACAAAAATAGAATGATCATTTTCATGTTATCATCCAAATGCATGTGCAATTGTATGTCCTCATGTCTCAAGGCCAACATACAAGCTAATATAAAAATAAGCATGTTGAGAAATAACTACTTCCGTCAGATACAATAAATTCATTCTTCAACAAACAAAATAAAAGTCAAGAAATAAAAAAACGCAACACAATACTGCAAAATTGTAATTAGCATCCTTAGCTGATAACATGTGATGTACCAAGAGAGAAGAAATTAAGAAAAACATTTGACAGAAAAAGAAGTGAAAAGGCAAAATTGAAAAGGAAAAAAATAATCGTCCTGGCATGTTAGTTAAGAGTTGAGAGTGAGAGTCTTCATGTTTTTCACATTATATGAATTATGATCAAGATTCGTAAGGGTTACATAAAACAATGAAAGTGTGAGATTATATATAGAAAGCTACAAGAATTTAGTCACAAGGGAGGTAAAGAGGATGTTATTTAACAGAGAAAACAAACAGATATGGAGGGATATGGAAGGTTTTTTGTAACTCTTCAAACATAATGGGATGTAATTATAATAAATAGAATAAATAATATATATTATTAAACAAATTGAATGAAAATAACGAAAGGACTCGTTGGTGACATATATTTGTTTTCACTAAAATGATGATTATATTTTTAAAAGTTATAATAATGATAGGTTATAAAGAGAGTTATACATTGGATAATTGCTCAAATAGAGTAACGTACATTAACAATTATAATAGGATAAATATTAAGTGTATTAATTAATTATATTAATAGAAAAAGTCCCTTGAAAGGAATATAGATTTTTGGACAAGAAAAATAAAAAAATAAAAAATAGAAAAGATAAATGACAATCCTAGTCGAAAAGAGGTGCCAAGTTATCTTTTGCCTGCGCTTTCTGCAATCTAATATTAAAAATAAAGAATTAGTTCAAACATTGACATTAAAAAAGTTTTTGTTAATCTAAAAACTCAACAAAAAGAAACAAACATATATGGCAAGACATATACATATATAAGATACATAATAAAACGGTGAAAAACAAATCCAAATATATTGTATTTTGTTGTCATTTTTGTCAACAATAAAAAAAATAATTGTAGACTTACCAATAATTACTTGGCTGGCAAATCAAACTATTTAAGCATCAAATTCTACATATAATAATGCAAATATTAAAGACTGTAAAACTAAAAGTGTTAGACTGAATTCATCAGGAGATATATACTTGTTCATCAACATCTTCCTTTGATTCTCCTTTCACGTATTAATCGGCGGCATCAAAGAATTCGAAAACATATTTTCGAGTATCACTTCCTCCAATGCCTTTCATGTATGGTTTGAAATTACAGAAGCCAACCCAGATCAATTCGAAATCAAATGTAAAAGTAAATCTACACTCTTTACTTGATTTATCCAACAACGAACATTAAGGATAATTAATTCATGATTAGAATACCTGGCCTTCTCTATCGGGCCTTCTTTCTTCCTCTTGACAGTTAACATGAGCAAGGAAAAGTATATAAAAAGCAACTTTAAATAAGAAATTAAGAATTAGAAGGCTCAGATACAACCCTTTAGCAACGTTACGTTTCTTAGCACCCATAAATTTGCAGTGTAGTTGATAACGTCTCATCTGCAACGTTTCGGGTTAAGTAATAAATGCTATTATATGCTAATAATTAGGAACAACATGAACAAAATATTTTAAATTTTCTACAGTTTTTTTAGACATCAAGTATGGAAAAATTTGAGGAAATAGATAAATACATTTCCTTGATAAAGAGAGGTGTCATATCAAAATTTTCATTCTTATATATATATATATATATATATATATATATATATATATATATATATATATATATATATATATATATATATATATATATATATATATATTCTTTGGCGATTAGTATGGCCTATAGATATATATTGTTTTGGTTCTAGGAATTGCTTATAGATAGAGAATGTCATATTGTGACAACATCCATTTATGTGGTAATTGGTAATATATCCATTTATGTGATTTGCACGAACTATGACAAGCTCAAATGTCGTGCGCGTCGTGTAAACTCGAGATATAAGATATTTTTGTTTGTCTCCTAGATTAATCTTGTTACTGATTAGGTTTATCATAATCAAAGCATTTGCATTTTAATTCTTAAATTTGGAGTTGGAGCTTAGCTTGACCTTGTGCTTTGGTAACTAATCTATATATCTATATATATTATTAATATTTAATATATAAAAGAGGGACACAAAAAGCTTACGTGACACCTCTTATCTATTAGAATATATATTTTTCTTTTTTCTCAAATTTTTGGCTTTTATCCATATTATTGCTATTTAAATACAAAAGCGCTAAATATCCTTCTTTCTCTTGGATCTTTCCGTCGCCGAAAGTATCTCCTATGACAAATTAAGGTTTTCTCCTATGTCTCTGTTTTTGGAAAATTTTAGGTTTCTTTTCATGTTTTTGATTTTGAGATTTTTAGGTTTTCTTCCATAATTTGTTGCTCTTTCGTGTATCTATACATTCGATTTCTGCTTGCTTAACATTAATTGTAGCAATCAAGTTGCCTGTTTTGCTATTCACTTTATGAGATTCAATTAATCTTCAATAGGATATACCTAAACTGCTTTCTTAAACTTGGAGTATTTTACATTTAATTTTCAATTCGAGTTTTTTATGCCGTGCGGTTCCGAGAGGATAAAAAATTCAGGTCCATCCATTTGTTCTCTCTGGTTTCGGAATGTTTGGTATTTTTCCATGAATTACATTTTTACTAGAAAGGAAAAATTGAATCAATTTTAGCCGGGAAATGAAAATCGAAAAAGTCTGGTGCTTGTCAATGAATTTCTTTTCAAAACTAAACCTCTCTAATCTATCTACTACTATTCCATGTGTGAAAATCGAAAAAATCCCATTCTTTTCGAAGAACCGCTTTTATGATTAGTTTTTGTCACTTCTATTGCAGTATTGTAATCGAAATTCCAGTCGACAATGTCGGTTGTTCAAACGCGACAAGCAATATGGTACGCTTATGGAACACAACATGCTTCTGGAAAACAGTTCAAATTCTCATAGATCTGAAGCTTTCACACATGGAAGCTTACATCTCCTGTGATTTACGGACGGTGAGCTCAATTCATTGAAAGTTTTGGAGAAATTACATTTCTGGAAGTGCCATCAGTTACACTGAACATGTATTTATCTAGCCAACAGTAATTGTGTGTAATGTACGTTAACTCACTCTATATTGGAAGTTTATGTGTGTCGGTGGGAAGGCTGACCTCCATGTCTCATTTTCTAGAGAATTCAAGAACACATATAGCAGTTCGCTTTTCGTGAGTGAATCATAATCATAATATAAAACTGGTGACATGTCTATTGCCTTCATCGGTAGAAAGTATATGTACAAGCCCCCTAGAAAAGTAATTTACTTTATAATCCTTATAAATAGTGGACGATATTTTGCTTTTAGCACTCAATTATTTGGCTCTTTTCCTTGGGATAGATTGAATTTGGCCTTTTATCTGAGGTTTTTGTCGTGCTACAGAATTATGGTGCAACATAGTAGACTTATAATGGTTGAATTACTTCCCTAATTTATGTACAGGAAAGCTATTCGCAGTTCCCCATTGAGGACTCTCAGAAGATTGACAGAATTGAAGCCCGTTTAAGGGATGTGCTCAAGAGGGATAATATATTCAAAGTGATAAAACATCAGTATTTATCTGTATGTGTGACTTCTAACTCCAACGTGGACCGCGGACTATGGAGTAGTATAACCGATACTGAAATTATAAGGATTACTTACCATCTTCTTGATTGTATAATTCAAAAGCTGTCCGACCATTATTTAGATTATTCTGATAAATTCAACCTCAAAGTGTATTTGATTGAACAAAAAATAACGAAAATTTGTTGTTCTTTTTAATTTTTTAAGTTGTAGTCAAGTGCAGGTCAAGCTGTTTTTAGTCCATCCTTTTACGGTTGCAAACTGAGTTAACTCTCTTTCCTTTTCCTTTTTGCTGTCAGCAGGAATCCTTCCCGGCATATGAAATATCTCCAGAAAACGGAACAAGTTATCGTTTGATCCGTAATACAAAATTAAAGTATTTTATAGGGGTGTCATGGGGTTGAGCAAAACTGAAGTGAACTTGAAGAGATTACTTGTAACTGCACCACAGCAGCAAAATCAAGAAAAGCTTATACATTATGTTGCCACTTTGCGTGAACTTCTGGAGCAGTTGGCTGAAGAGAAGAATCCAGATGGATTACCACAAGTTTCAAAAGCCAAGGTGAACGAATATGCAGAGAACATTGAAGCCGTTGCTGCCAAGTTAGCTGTGCCCGTGTCTGATTTGCAAACACCTGAGGAACCTGCGGCTGAGACTTCCAGCAGTGGAACTCCTAAAGCAGAAGAAAGTGTGAGTTCTGTTTCTGAAGGACTGAGAAGAAGAGTCGGGGTCCATTCAAACAATGAGGAGAGATGTCGAGACACCATTGATTCTGATCAATCAGCTGCAGTCAAACTGGATGATGCTGCACGGGCACATATTGAGAAGCACAGGAAACTTCAGGAGGACTTGACTGATGAAATGGTTATTTTGGCACGGCAGCTCAAAGAGAGTAGTCTCATGATGAATCAATCTATCAAAACTACTGAGAAAATACTTGATTCAGCTGAGAAAGCAGTGGAGCATAGCCTAGCAAGTACAGGGCATGCAACTTCCAGGGCTATGGATGTGTATTCCCGGAGTTTCAAAACTACATGCTTCCAATGGCTTTTGATCTTTGTGATGACATTAGTCTTTGTCATGGTTGTATTACTTATTCGACTGACTTAGCAGCCGACACCTTTGTTAGAGGAGATATGACAAAATGCTTGGTTTATGTTACCTTGTATAGTACCAGAAGATACCTAGTCAGTAAAAATTTATCTGTAATTTTAGTGCATGTTCTAAGGCTAAAAAATTCTTTAAATGCTGAAGGCGAAGTGTGTAAAACACCTGCATTACTCTACTTTTCTAAAAGAGTTATTTTTATTTAAGCTAAACTCAATACGCTTTGTTTGATATAATACTGATTGTTAAGGAGTAAAAAAAAAAAAACCCTGAGTTAACCCACATTTGGAAAGCTACTAGGTACGTGACAAAGATACGACTTGAAGCACATGGCAAAGAATACATGACTTGGAGCAGATGACAAAGGATATACCGCATAACAAAGAATAGACTGCTTGAAGCATGCGACTAAGAATATACGATTTGAAGCAAAGAATATATAACTTAAAGAAGAATATACGACTTGAAGCAAAGAATATACAGCTTGAAGCAGAGAATATGCGACTTGAAGTATGTGACATAAAGAATAGAAATTGGAGTATTGGAGAACCTGTTATCCCTCAAGTAATTGATCAAGTCCGCTGTGGCAAGAACCCGAAGTAATCCCCAACAGAATCGCCATGTTGTTGCACCCTATTTTGCACAAATCAAAACAATGTAAAATATATAGTACTCTGCAAGGAATTCATTTCATATAAGAACTCCAAAAAGATCTTAAAATGACATAAATACTGTCTTCTAATAAATTCTAAGAAGTTGATCATGACTAATCAAGCAAGTCCCGAGAGAAGTCCCCCACAGACAACTTATTTAACCTCGCTAGAATATGTAACACTGAAGCCAATACCTTTAACTGATATCATAAAATGCTTCAAAAGTCCGTTGATGCACCAAAACAGAAACTTGTAATGGATATAACGAAGACTCGACCTTACTTTAAGATCGCGACGAATGCGTCCATAATGTTGAAGATATTCTAAACCTAGTCAGAGGGGATCCAGGATTTAAATTCTATGGGTTCAACTATAAAGTTTTTAGCATTGAACCCATTATATTTTGAAAGTTATGGGTTCATATTTATTATTTGTACAATTTTAAGTAATTTTTACACAGAGTTTTATTCCGCGTCAAAAGTTATGGGTACAATTGAACTTGTTGCTAACCCTGTGCATCCGCCCCTGCCTTTAGCACTTCAAAGAAAATTATTGCAATAACTGTTAATTTCTTCAAATCAATCAGGAAGAGCATCCTTCAGAATATAGATACAGGGACCTCCATCCATGTAAGGCACTACAACCCATATATTATGATCACTAACGAAAGATACAAGACCAATAATATCATATAGAAGAACTAAATAAAATACCTGCAAGTTATACAAATATAATGTTGACACAACTTAATCAGGTTGAATACCGAAAATACAAAAAGAAGATCTCATCTGAAGAACTAAAATTTACTAACCGCTTAAGTTTTTTCTTACAGGGATTAAAAGATATAGGAAATACATCACATGCAATCTTAATTTGCTAGAAGATTGAAAGAAAAGCTCCATAGCTTCTCCATTTGGGAAAGCTATATAAAACGCAAGCTACTCTCAAGTTTCAGCTAATGAACCAGAAGAAAATGGGTGAAAGGTTGGTTTTGAGGGGGGGAAATGGCGTATTAATTAGCACCAATTCACTTCACTCTTCTTGGAAGAACACGATTCCTGATTTTTTGTTTATAATAATAGTGAACATAAATGAAAAATTTTGAAAAAGGGAAAAAATACAGGAAAAAAGATAAACGCAATCCTCATCAATGGAGGTGCCATATCAACACTATTATTCCTAGNAAATGAAGAAAATAAAAAATATGAGCAACTATATGGAATCACAAAAAATAAAGATTGGAAAATGATAATATTATTTAAATATTAAAAAGTAATCTATTATTTTAACATAGTTAAGTTTGTACATAACTTCATCCAACAACAAAATTTCAACTTTAATGACATCATTCATTATAAGTCAAGTTTGTGGATGATTTATTCTTTCTAAGATTAAGAAGTATAATTTTTTTAGAAAAATTAGAATTATAACATAACTAAGTGTAATATAAAAAATTAAGAAAGAAACAAAATATGAAATTATGTAGAAACACGTGACGTAAAGGTTGGAAAATGAGAAATAAGGAAATAAAAAGTAAATAATGTAAAAAAAATATTTGAAAAAAAAGAATTTTAAAAGTTAAAAAAATAGATTAAAAAGAAAAAAAGAATATAAATAAAAAGTAAATTAAAAAGAAAAGAAAATAGATTAAAAAAATAACCTCGCAATTCTTTTTTGAAAATTACAGAGTTAATTACACCAAATTACATGTTGATCAAATATTACGTGGTACAATAATTAAATTCCAAACCGGCCCTAAAATTTGTTTAAATACATATGGGGAATTGGCAAAAGGGAATTGAGTGGGGAGATTTTAAGGCAGAGAATCGAATATTATCTATATTTTAGATGAGTGATTTAAATACAATTTTATTATGAATTGGTAGGGCAGTAAAGCAAAATTGGATTAAAGTTGTCACCGCTAATCCACTATATAGTATACCGTTTCTTCTTCTTCTTCTTCTTCTTCTTCTTCTTCTTCTTCTTCTTCTTAGTTGGAAAATGCAAGCAAATTTTTTGACAGCAGCTAACTAATACGAGCACAGAGTACAAAGGACCTTTTGTTTACTTCCATTCATCAGCGTCTACTAGTCAACTTTATTTTAATCTTCATGCAATGGGGAGAGGAACTGTAGTTATAAAGCACAAGAAAATATGTTTTTAAAATTGAACGTCTCTTCCTGAAATCCAAGAAAAAATTCAGTTTAAAATAAAAATGAATGCAATTTGAGTTTTTTCAATTTTCATGTCCCGATAGTTGAACTAAAAAAACTGAAATTTAAGACAGTATTTTGATGTTTGAACAAAAAAAATTCTTGAATTTTAGGATACAATATCTTAAAGTTTGAATCCCCGGTTCAAACTTCAGAACATAATGCTGTGAAGTCTGAACTATAGAGTTGGACATTCAAGCTTCAGGATAATGGAGAAGAAGCGCAGAAAAAGCTGCTTTTTTCAAGTTGTGGCCATGTTTTCTAGTCATTATAAACACTAGCTATTTTTTTGAATGGCAGCCCCAAAAGTAACTTTCTCCCCAATTAATTTGTTAATTGTTCATCCAATCTGCTAGATGAAGTTGGGATTGGGCTGAAGTGTTTCTATTATTATAGAAAAAAATTAATGGCATGGTCAGTTTTCACCATGTAATTTAAGCTATATCCAATTTTTTCAAAATTTAACTGGTAGCTAATGTTAGGAAAGTTTCAGACAAATGCCTCTATCACGACCCGAAACTCAACATGTCGTGATAACGCCTATCATGATATTAGGCAAGCCGACAACTCAAATATACCAACACTTTCAAATTTAACATATATTAAAACAAGGGTAAATAAGCAAAAATAAATCATAAAATCTGGATAAAACCATCACAACTAGATACAGGAGTTTCCCAAAACTAGGGTGTCACTGAGTACATGAGAATCTATACAATACTAATCCTAATACACTGTCTAAGAAAGTAGAACTGAATAAATAAAACTGAAAGATAGGGGAAGGAGAGTCAAGGTCTGCGGACGCCAAAGCAGCTACCACGATGATCTCCGAACAGGTAAGGCTGCACGATCAACAATCACCGTGCCCGAAAATGCCTGGATCTGTACACGAGGTGCAAGGTGTAGTGTAAGTACAACCAACTCAATAAGTATCACAAATAAACAAGGCAAGGTCAGAGAAGCTTAAATTATTGAGGATACAAGTTAATTCAGTGTAATTCTGCCCTTTTTGACCAACACAACACAATATTTAAAGCTAACTCATAATGCTTCGCATCACGACCCAAAAACCGACCGTCGTGATGGCGCCTATCGTGGAACTATGCAAGCTACTATCCAACTATCTTAACACAGTGAGAGCTTTGAAAATATAGACGGAAGTAATTAATATTTAAGAAAATATTTTTGGAACAGAAATAAACCCGCAATACGATACAATCTATCCCACACCGGGGTGTCACCAAGTATATGCGCATCTATGCCAGAATACAGTCTACTACAATGTCTAAGGAGTAAAAATTGAAATACAAATAAAGAGAATAAAGGAGAGTCAAGCCCTGCGAACGCCATGCAGCTACTTCGATAGTCTCCGAGATCCTGTCTCCTCAATCAGCAGCCGTCGTCACCGAAAGCACCTGGATCTGCACACAAGGTGCAGGGTGTAGCGTGAGTACAACCAACTTAGTAAGAAACAAATCCAAACTGTGGGCTGAAAGTAGTGACATTACTCAATCGGCACAATATAATATAGAAATAACAGTGCAGAAACATAGGCATGCTTTCAAGTTAATTAGATAACTCAAAACAGTAAAATAGATCAAATCTGAACGATATGAAGCATAAAATTCCTCTACTTCTACATGTCAATGCACATGTTATATGTGATGCACCATGCCGACAGCCTTATGTACTCACGCTCTCAAATTCTCAATCACTCGGTACTGTATATGGCCCAAATGGCCTAGGGAAGATCCATCCCAGAATATATATATCACTGACCATCAGTCACCCGGTACCGAGTAGGGCAATTCCAGCCCGTGGAGAAGATCTATCTTCAGGTATATATGGTCATTCGCACAAGATCCATGTCCAGGAAAAATACATCCCTCAATAATATCAACCGTGCAAACTGGGGGTGTGTGCAGACTCCGGAGGGGCTCCTTCAGCCCAAGCGCTATCATAAATCAGTATAACCGTTGCGTCGTGCAGCCCGATCCCACAACTGACACTCATAATCAGGCTCTCGGCCTCACTCAGTCATAAATCTCTCCAGTCTCACTCACGGGCTCACAATATCATAAAAACTAGCCCGAAACAATGATATGATGTATCAATAAATAACAACTGAGAATGAGATATGATATGAAATGAATGAATATGACTAAGTACGAAATATCAATGAAATCAGTAAGATGACAGCAAGAAACGACCACTATGGGTCCCAACAGTACTGGCATAAAGCCTAAACATTATATCTAGCATGATCGACAACTCAATTACTTTATCACATGATGAAAACGCGGATATCAACA